ACTACCTCGGTACGGGACCGGACCGGTGCGGGGCTGGCGGGGGCACGTTTTCCCTTAGGTAATAAAAGCCGCTGCTAACAAAGGAGCAGCCGGAATCTGCCCTGTCTGGGTCCCCCAGGCCGGCGGCCCGCGGGCTGTTGGGAAGCGCGGCTCTCTTTGTCCGAGGCTGCTCGCTCGCCGCCGAGAAAACTGGTTTGTGCTGGTTTTCTGCACCCTAGTGGTGACGTATTAAAGTATGTCTATGTACACTGTATAGGCCGTCTTAGATATGCATTGATTTTTGAAAAATGTTTTCTTTTTAGCTAAAGGAGGAAGCAAAAAGGTGTTGGAAGAGGCAGCAACGGTAGGTATTAAACTTTCCTGATGGCGTTGCATACCTCTAGGAAGTGAAGGGTTTCTTCAGTCTGTAGGAGCATTGCGCTAGCGGAGGTTACATAAATACTTTCACAAATACGGCTTTAAGACTTAACAGTGAGAGATGCCTGTTGTATCCAATATAGGATTTGCATGCTCATACTGCTCCTTGTTGGTCTTTCCTTACCTGCTGGATTTCACTCCCAGATCCCTGAGAGCACACGCACTTTTCAGTAAATGAAAGCATTTCCAAATTGGTTGAGCAGCAGGGTGTAGGTGAAGCATACTTGCAGCTGCCAAATAAGGCATGTTAGTCCCGAATGGCATGCAGACCTCACATGTTGTTGTCACCTCCAGAATAACATGAAAGGTCGCAGTTTGAGCACAACAGAAAACATGGAGGTATTCTTGCTATAAAATAATTAGGGATTTGCTCTACAACTTGGATGTCTCAGAACTATATGCTACTGATAATCCTAATGGTGTCGTGACTGTTTTTAATTTTAGGCAGACTTGGAAATAACAGAAATAAACAAGTTAACAGCAGAAGTTATCCAGACTCCTTTAAAAATCATCAAGAAAGGTCAGTTTGTTTTAAGCATTATGATGAGTTCAGTGAGATGAAAGCATGTCATGGTTTATATACTGTGAATAATAATTCAGTTCTTACTTACATCCCTCAATATATTTAAAGACAGGCAAATAATCCTACTTTTATCCCTACTATCTGCATTAGCTCTACTCAGTTTTATTAAAACACTCAAAATAATTCAAAATAGTGCTCTGTCAATCACTTGGATTACACTGGAATTTGGATTTCAGAACCAAATTGTTGCCAAAAATGGTTGTGGTTGTTTACCGTTTACCTCCACTGCTAACTAATAATGTGAAGTTATTATTTATTTTCAACTTAGATAGCACTTTCTCTTTCTAGTGGAAAAATCTAAACAGGATATTGAAGCTATTGAAGAAGAAGCAGAGCTTCCTTTGCTTCCTCTAGCAAAGAAAGCGAAACATGATAGCCAATGTCTTCCAGAGCTAGAAGCTGAAAACGTTAATCCAAGAACTGGAAAGGTAAATAGCTATTCTTTGTGATGACTTTATTCCCAAGATATAAACTACTTACTGAGATAATGCCTATGATAATGTAGCTGTCCAGGATACTTTGAGGGGCACTTCAATGCAGGTATCACTTCCTGAAACGTCTAGTGATAGGAGAAGGTCACATAAGCTTGTATAGTGTTTGTTTCTGGACTCTTGTGCCATAAAAAGGAGCCTGTTGAGCCAAACATTTTGTATGGAAGCATTTGTTCATTGTGGACTCAACTGTCACATGAGAGTGAAGTAACTGATTTGGTGAGTAATGTGTGTTTCAGGTGAAGGCATCCACTAAAAAAGCGCCAGTGTCCAGGAGCAGAAGAGCTCCTTCAGCAAGAGTGAAGCGCATGAGTAAAAGGTAATAGGGGACCTCTTTTTCACCGGATTTCAGAAATGGAGAATAAGTGTGTAGTGCCAATATAACTCTTAAATGGAATGGAGTATGGTTTAGTAGGCTGGTTGAGGTAGTTGTGCCATGCTATAGGAAAAAATCAGCGATCTGACAGTGAATGAAAGATGGGCAACTTCCTTTCCTGTGATGACCAGCTATCCCTAGCTTTGGGGTTTACTTTTGATTAGTAAGAACCTCTGGTTTTCTGTGGTGATAACCTCATTCAAGTCTTTGATAAGATAGTGCTTGTATGTTTGTTAAAAGTATTCTTATGAGCAGATGTTTATTTATTTCCCTTTAACAGATCAAGCAAAAGCAACTATATCACTCCAGCTACTGGTAGAATTATTGATGTCTGTGCTCGGGGAGGTACCTCTATGGTCACACCCAAATTTGATTCCAGGTTTGTATTCTGTTAAATTTCTCTGTTAATCTCTTATACAGGGGAGTGCCTTGCTATTTGGTTTGTGTATGTATCTGTCATCTATTTGCAACATAATCCTTGGTGGCTCTTTGAACGTGAAATGAAAGACTTTTAGTCAAAGAGCTTTGAGCAATTGCAGTGAAATTACTTACCTATAACTTTTTGTTTCAGAATTTTCAAGACACCAGGTTTGCGCACGCCTGCAGTAAATGAACGTGTTTACACCATCTCTGCCAATGGCAGCCCCCTTGCTGACAGCAACGATATCTTCATTACAGTCCCTGTTGGAGGAGGGGAGGTAAATCAGAAACTTTAATCTGTAAAATCTATGCTGAAGGGATAGCTTGTAACTTCTTGGGGGCCTCACCAGTTTCACATCATCCACTCTTGTCTCTTTAGTTGTGCCACTGCAGTTTATCAAGGGATTGATCTAGCTTAAAAAGAACCTTGAAAGATTTTTTTTTTTAGTCAGAAGCGGGAGCTGTTCAAGCTGGTCAAAGCAGAATGTGGAATGATGTTTTGCTGTGCATTTAAGTAACATTTAAAGTAGTTTCTGCTGGCAGTAATGTATTAGTGCACTGCAAGGAAGGTATGAGATGAGCTTCTGGTTGAGCTGAATGTAGTTCTCTGCCTGTATATGGTCTCCTAGTATGCTTGGATTTTATTTACTTCCCCCCCCCCCCCCCCCCCCCCCCCCCCCGCCCGGCTTCTGGCTACTACAGCAGACCAAGCAGAAAACCTAAGATTTGGGTTTTTTTCACAGAGCATTCGTTTAACAGCAAGTGATTTGACCAAGAAAAATCTTCTTCATCTGAATCCAGAGGCCCAAGGAATTATGAAGAAGCTCTCAGTAAGTCTATGTATTTCTGTCACCCATGACCTGAAATTGTAAGGCAGAGTTGTCACTCTGTCATTAGCCACTGGACTGTTGAGCTGTAATAGAAACTCCTTATTTCCCCCCTCCTTGTCTCGTATTTTGGCTCATGTCACTGGTCAAGAAGAAGCATGAACTCAGAAGGGAAGGAGAGGGAGTAGCTTTACATCACATCTAGCTTAATAGAAACTGTGGATAAACCATGTACTTCTTGAAAAAGAATTATTGTCAGTGTTTTGAAAAACTGAATCAAAACTGGAAGTATCTTCTACTTCAGGCAGAAGTTATAAGTGGTTGTGGGATGTAAAAGTGTGTCTTAGAGTACTGATTCATTTCTTTTTCTTTCTAGGTTCGTCTTGCACAAGCTTGCAGTGGCGCAAAAACCAACAGATGAACCTCGATGAATGTTGACATCCCTCTGTAAATACAGAATGTTACATTTAGGACTGCTACCTTTAGTTCTTGTTCTAATTTGTGTCTTCCTTCCATTAATCTACAGAATGGAAGTTAAGAACTAATTTTTCTACCTATAATATGTAATGGGATTAGAATAGATTGCATTTTTTTTATTCAGGAAAAAAAATACTTTATTTCCTATTTCCTTTAAGGTTGAGACCAAGATACAGTTATCTTGGGCTTGCAGACCAGCAAGCTGGGTAGAAAGGCTATTCTGGTAGCTTGCAGAAGATGTAAGCAGTGGACACAAGTGACTGCAGTTCATATCTGTCTGGGCAAAGAAAGCAACAGATCAGACTTGTTGCACTTCCTTCCAGGCATGTCTTTTCTCTGCAAATGGGCTCAAAAGGTGATGACTATCTCAGTATAGTACCTGAGATACCTAAAGGCAAGTTACTGGTGCCTGGGACTAAATGGAAAGCTTCTTGTAGTTCATGATGCTGCCATGAATAGCAATCCTTTTGTTCTTATAGTAGCTCTTGTATTTGTAACTGGCTTTGAGGTTTTTATAGTGAACTTATGCATTTTATTGTTTTTAAAGAAATAAAAGATCACAGGTAGTTTAACTTAACAGAATCAGCTAGACTGCTGCTTAACTAGATTACTGAGAGTAACCTTAGAGCTTCTGGAGTATCTCTAATGTGAGAGAACTTTGCTTTTCCTACACCCCCTTCAAAATCTTTAGGAGAAGCAGTACTCCTGGAACTGAGTATAGACAGGGAAGAAGAAAGCTTGGACTAGTTGAAACATTGTTTTGCCCTTTCTTCTCATCTAAATTCAGTTGATTCAGTGCATTTCTTTGACAAAGAGCCATATCCAATAAATGCTGTTTGAACAGAACAAAATAACTTCCTCAGTCATTAATGTTTTTTTTCCCTCATTGCTCATAGAAAATACAGAGAAATCTTGCTCCACTTCAAATTCAGGAAAATTCAACTTTAAATGTAGCCTCTTGGGAAAGGATTAATGTATTTATATTTTAAAATATAAGCAGGAGTACTCATCTGGCTTAACACTTCCCTGTACAATGAAGCAGGAAAGAAGTCTTGTATTTGCTTTCCTACAACCACTGTCTTATTTTTCAACAGCTTGGAAAAGCAGAGCTCTCTATGAAGCACTAGCTCTCTGTGGGAAGATGGCATAAAGTCTTAGAATGTAAAAGACTCCTCTCACTCAAAAGCCAGGGTTTCATTTTTATTGTAGCTGGTACAGGATGGGAGAGGACACTTCTCTTGTCTGTTGAACTAAGATATGGAATCCCTTAAAAGTGTGGTTACCTTCGATTCCCGAAGCATTATTCTGTATGGATCATACAAAGTCAAATATGTAAAATGGCATCTGCAAGAGACAACCTGATAATCCTTCCTCTGTTTCAGCAGGGAAGCTAACATGAGAGCATTTTAATTGGCATGTTAAGAGAGCATTCAGAGTAAAGAACTTCGCTTCTCTAACTTGTCTAAGATGTTTTTTTCTAAAAATAAGCCTGTTTGTTTGTTAGCTGGCACACTGTCCTTTCCAAAGATACCGTTTTGTCCTTGATTTAAGCCTCTTGGAAGGGGCTATAAACAAGGATGTTGAGACTTTGGGAATTTTTCTAGGTTTGGAAAAGTTCTGCTTTTGGCCAAAGCCAAGCCTACAGCATGATTAAGAAGGAAGACTGGGAAAAGATGCTATCAGAGGTAACTTATGCTTTGGTGTAAATGTTTGATGCAGCCTGTGGTATGGGAGAAAGTTTGCAGAACAGCATTCATAGATGAATTTCCTTTTAAAAAGCAAGCATGTCACTGTAATGCAAACCTCAAGTATATACCATGTATCTGGAAATCACTATTTAAGAGATTTTGGCAGCTTCTAAGTCCTAACTGCAGGTGGCAATATTGTAAACTAAGCTACAAGTACACTTGCCTTGCTGTCGTTGATGAGTTTTGTTAACATATTAATTAAAAAAACCAATTAGTTAAGCTGTAAATAAAACTGTAACACACTTACTTGGATACAGATGTGTAAGTCTAGATTCTGCTTTAAACATGTCTTTACCAGGAGAAAAAGTGAACTAAAATGCTTAGCTAGCCTAGAGAATTCTTCTGTTAATACTGTCTGCTTTTAAAAGCTCTAGGTACAATCTTTAAGGCCCTGCGTTGACATGCTTGTTACATTATCAGCCATTTCGGTCTCCTGTTTAATGCTGAGGTACGGTATTGTTAGTTAGTTAATCCAGGAATTAATGTTTTGGCTAGTACTAGACAGTAGTACTATTCCTCTAGATTAATGAGTCTTGAGTGGTAAGGAGGTGCAGATATGACTTGACTGCTTCTGCAGACTTCCAGTGCATACGTGAAAGCCTTGTGTCCCTGCAAGCCTGCCTACCCAGCTCTCCAACAGCAGAGTCATACTTTTGTTTCTAACTCTAGATTTATGTGCTATACATTCCTGATTCTTCTGGAGGATGAAAGGCCGTATTTGTGCTATTATTGGGGTTAACGCATTATTTATGCCTATAGCAAAAAAAATGCTTGCAAAATAACGTTTAGCACCTGGAAGGTGCGAAGAAGCAGAATCTGTAGAACTTGGCGGGGGTTATGGCTGCATTTCAGTTTGTACCTGTTTGGGTTGTCTGTGGCTGAATTTGCTCTGTAGAGTGTGGAGGCGGCATAGCTCAAGGTTCCCTCTTTGCAGAGGTGGTGCTGCTTTTCCTGGCACAGTGCAACCAACAATGCTGTTAATATTCAAGCTTCCTTTTCCGATTGTCAGAGTGAGTTAATTGTATCTGACATGAATTAAAGCTATCTGGCAGCTAATAGTGAAACAGATTCATCACCTAAATCCATTTTGCGTGCTGCCTGCACCCTGGGTAAGCAGTAGTTCATTTTTCTGTAGTTTTATTGCTCATGTAAATTATTGGCATCGCTTCTGGCCCTTTTGCACATTACATGGCAGTTGCATTTTGTTTAACAAAGCTAGAACCTCCCTCTTCTATTCAGTTCAAGGATTACTGGGGCAACACAGGGAAGCTGGCTGATGTTTTTGCGGATTTGGGAGAGGGTTTTTTTGTATATTATTTGTATGCTAGCCTGGCTGTAGTCTGAACTGCTCTTTAAATGGTGTGATGGGAAATAAAAAGCAACACAGGAAAATAACTATTCTGTCAGGTTGGAAGAGGCTGCATCCATCACTGGCCGGAGCAGTTCAGCCTACAGAAAGAGACTGACGTTAGCTTGTGCCATCTGAGCTGCTGCTAGGTCAGAGACGCTGCGGGCATGGCTTCAGGGACTGTCCTCTGAACAGAGCCAGTCTTGAGGGGAAAGACTAGAGGACATTGAGGTGCCTTCTCAGAATATCGGTTTTGCATATGTTCTTCCCAAGAACTGAACTACGTGACCTTCAAGGGCCTGTGTTTTGCGTTAATAGGTGAGGCTCTGCAGAAGGAATTAAAGCCCCCATGTTTTGCAGCTGATTCCATGAGAAAAAGTGGTTTTCCTGGTTGTAATTTCAGTCATGATGAATACTGCCCAGGGCTGAGAGCTGTGGCTTTCTTGTAGGAAGGATGGTTTGGGGAGTAATGGCCATGGTTTGCTAAAAGATTGCTGAGCACTGACTTTTTAAGGTCAAAACTCCTGACCCGAACCAGAGCTCTTTCAAAATAAGTTTCCCTTGGGACAGAGCAAGCTGCAGAAGGAGAGCTGGTGGTACTTTCAGCAGCACAGACCCAGCAGGGAGCAAGCAAGTAGCAGGGCGTGTCTGTGTTTCACCAGGGCTTTTATAGTGCTGGGTAACTACAGTCTTGCAGGGAAAAATTCCCCGCGCTGGCTGGCACAGAGCTCAGCCGGCCAACCCTCCAGGCAGGAGTTCCCACTCGCACCAAGCAGGTTGCAGCAGTACGCTGTGTGCTGGGAGGATGCTCGGGAGTCTCAGTGCTTGTGCTACAGTTTTGCTCTGGGTGTGAGAACTCCAAAGTTCAGCCCAAATTCATAATGGAAGTGTGAAACTATTAATCTAGAGAAATAATGAGCAGAATAGGTACCCAGTGAGGTACCTTCCCCAAGATGTGCTGACATTGAACTCCCACAAAGGGACTGTGTTAGATAATGATCCTAATAGGTGGCTCTTTCAGGCAATTTGATAGATGTGCACTATCAAGCATTGTCAGAAATAGCTCCGTATAGAAAGCAAGCGTTTATCATCACGGACACCTTGCAGGTGGTCACTGATTCAGTGACATTGTAAGAAATAAATAGATAACAATTCCCTGCTTGCTGATAGAGGGATGATAGTTTAGAACAAATTAGAGCTGTCTCTAGGCAATTTTTTCATGCAGGAGTTTTTGATTTGAAGTTGCAGGACAGCACATGCAACTCCTTCAGCTGTCCTGTATAATTCCACCAGAAATCCATGTTTCGTGGGACAGCTGAAGGCATAAGAAGGGGAAATATTCCTTAGCATCACTGAAAGAGGAGTTTGTAAGTCATTTCTCTTCCCTAAATAAGTGATTGGGAGAACTGCAGATTCAAAGGTGAAATGCATATCTGGAAACCCCTGCCAGTTTGGTGAGTTTAGTTGAACAAGCTGCATCTCCAAATTTTATGTTCAATTGCAGTGTCTGCAGCTAGCAGTAAAGATATTCTGCACACCAAAAATTCATCCACTTGCGGAATTTGTGAGTCATTTTGAAAACACAGATAAGTCTCAGGGCTCAGGGAAATAACAAGAAAAAGGAATTTTCAAAAAAGACATTATTTGTTTAATCAGTGGGACAAATTGTCCTAGTCAGAGTGTGCACAAGCTGACTTTTCGATATGAGTTCCCACATCTCAGTGAATCGGAGAGGGTTGTCTGGGGACCAGTGAGAAGTTCAAGTGTCAAGTCTGTGATTCATGATAACATTCCCTTCAAGAAGGGCTCAGCTGTCAGTGGCCTTTCTTGGTGGGGACGGGTGCTCTC